TTATGTTATGAATTACCCTTAATGTCCTATATGAGGACAATAAAGCTTGTGTTGCACAAGTGATAAATGAGTTTATTTAATAATATTTGATAGAGCATATATAATGTCGAGATGCTATCCACGTGCAGGGACGGAGCCAAAGGGGGGGCTGCTGCCCCCCCCCCCCCTCTCCCCACCCCCACCCCCACCCCATATATAATTTTTGTATGTATATATGTATGATAGTACTAATTCCCCGTATAGTAGGGTGTATGTACATGTATATAAATATATGAAATGTACACATAGAATAGAGAGAAGATAAAGCCAAGGTATTGAGCAAATGTACTTCTTTTATTCAATGTTGTGTTCTCGGATCTATTTGGTATAGAGAGAAGGGAGAGCTCTTTTAGTGAGAGTAGAGAGTGGAGAGGATCAAGAGGCTAGATCCTTGATAGAGGGAAGGATGAGAATCTAGCATGCATTTAGAGAGAGAGAGAGAGAGAGAGAGAGAGAGCTAATGGAGTGAATCCCCTCACTTTGAGGGATTTAAGCCCTTTTATACGCAGGGTGGCGGGTTTGACCCGCCACCTCTGACTTTGACCCGCGAACCGGGTCCCGAACCACTTGACCCTGACCCGCTCATAAACAAACTCACGGACATATAGGTGGTCGGTACTGGGGGGTATATAACCTATCATGAAGCCCCCCAGCCCGTGCTCTGACGATGAGTTAGCGAGGAAGGGTTCGGGCTGGAAAAACCGGTTACACGGTCCGTGATATGTGCCGGTTGCCTCGTTAAAAATCTTAGGCTAACAAAAAACCCAGTGGGAAATAAAAATTTCAGCCAAGGGAAAAGAGTACAACGCTAAACACAGTCTGGTGGACTAAAAAGGTTGCCCGACTTAGGGGTCATACTTGCAACACGATTTTCGAGATTTACTTCACCAATTACGGGATTGGACTCGCGCACGATTGAGATACTGGATTTACTCGGGCGAAACGAACGCAATTCGACCGATCCGCCCGGGAAAACTTTAGTGAAGCGAACGAGCTACTCTATCGATGCATAAGGGAATAGATACAACGGGTTGTCGGGTTCGCCTTGCTAACTTTGACCGCGATCGGAAAATGACCCGACCGGGTCCGCGGTGCGAGTGCACCAGGCTACACCCACAACGTCGACGATCGAGAAATGACCCGACCAGGTCCGCAGTGCGAGTGCACCAGGCTATACCCACAACGTCGATGACCGGGAGGTGACTCGACCGAGCTCAATGTGCCGGCGTACCACCGGTTGACTTGCCTAATTTGTAGGACTTTGGAGTTTTACGAAGCCTGAATCGACCGATCCAGTGATCGGACCTCTAGTCGAGTAGAGGGTTTACGGGCTACGGATCAAGTGATCGGGTTTTTAACGAGATCGGGTGATCAATATCGAACTCGTAGGTCACGAAGCCGAGGTACGATCTCAGGCTAACTGGACCGGTAGTGGCAAGGCCAACCCTAACCGGTCTAAGAAATGCCTACCTCGTAGGGCTTAAAGTCGAGATACGATCTCTGGCTAACTAGGTCGGTGGTGGCAATGCCAACTTAACCGATCGAAGGAAATGCCTACCTCATAGGGCTTAAAGCCGAGATACGATCTCTGGCAAACTAGGTCGGTGGTGGCAAGGCCAACCTAACCGGTCTAAGAAATGCCTACCTCGTAGGGCTTAAAGCCGAGATATGATCTCTGGCTAACTAGGTCGGTGGTGGCAATGCCAACCTAACCGATCGAAGGAAATGCCTACCTCGTAGGGCTTAAAGCCGATATGCGATCTCTGGCTAACTTGGTCGGTGGTGGCAATGCCAACCTAACTGACCGCAGAGTGCCAGTGGTGGCGAGGCCAACCTAACTGGTCTTAAAAACGCCGGTGGTGGCAAAGCCAACCTACCCGGTCCAAAACACGTGTAGTTCGAGAGGTGATCTTGAACTGACCAAGCCAGTGGTGGCAATGCCTACCTAATCGGGCTTAGAGCGCCGGTGGTGGTAATGATGCCGACCGGTCCGGACTTAGAGTGCCAGTGGTGGCGAGGCCACCCTAACTGGTCTTTTTAAAATGCCTAACTTGTAGGGCTTGAAACCGAGATTGATCTCGAACTGACCAAGTCGATGGTGGCAATGCCGACCTAACCGAACTTGGAAACCTAACTGGAACTGAAGTTATAGGAACCTTGTATGCTTCAATCTTGGTGCGGTGGAATTTTAAGCGACATTAGGGTCATCGAGCTCGTACCTTCACCAGTGTTACCGGACAAGTTTAAGCCACATTGTGGTCGTCGGGCTTGGTAAAATTAGCGGTTAAGGTTAGCGACTAACATGTAAAATGACCAAAAGGGTATACATATATAATAATATTATTATTATTATTACTAATAATAATACAAATATTATTATTATTATTATTATTATTATTATTATTATTATTATTATTATTATTATTGTTATTAATTAAATAACAATAATAATAATAAGAAAAAAAATAAAAGAGATGTGGGATCACAGATCCCACATCGGTAGTTTAGAAGAAAAGGGGCGCTGAGCTCCCTTATAAAAGGGAGCTCAACGCCCCTTCTTTTTTACTCTTGGAGGCTTCTTTGGGTTTCTAATGCAGTATTAATTTTTTTTTTATTATTAATAAATGGAGGGTGTTTTGGGGAAAGTTAAAACCTTCCCCAAAACGCCAACCCCAAACGCTGCTAATTGCAGCGTTTGGGGTTTCAGCGGGTTGGAGCCAAGCTGCTGCTCCAAACCGCTGATAACCAAACACTAGAATTAGCTTTTTGACTAAGTTAAAACGCTGATTTTAGTCAAATCCGCCAAAAAATGGCGGATCCACTGCCTAATTAAACATGCCCAATATAAAATTAGAGTACAAATTTGTAAACTTTAATTCTTTGCGGCTTTGACCTTACTTCCCCGATCGCATCGTGAGGAGTGCTCGGGAAATGTCAGGCAGAAAATTTGCTGACTATTCTGCGTGACCAGGGATTCGCTTTGAGCTTAATTGTAATCGGGAAACTTTAAGAAATTATGGCTGCCTAGAACACGCCGTGGTCAGCGACCGGACTATAGTTTACGGTCGGGACCGAGCTCAGCGATGTTGGCGGCTTTGCTGGGAAAACTGCTCAGCGTTCTCCGGTCATTTGTTCACGGATGATGGCTAGGTGCGAATGAGATCGAGCTGAGATCGACCGGTGAGGAAACGACACTGCTCAGTAATTGGTCAGGAAACTAATAGCGATGCTGATCAGTAAGTGCTCGGGAAGGATAACGTCTGCACATCCCTTGACTTTGGGATTCCACGAAGCAACGAAATCGCAGCTCACGTCTGTTCAGGAAACCACATACCGACGGTCCGATCGGGAGGGTCGGAGGATCGTTGACTAGCCCGAGAGGTGGGTTGGTTTGCCTGGTGAAGTTGCCGTCGCAATGATGTACCCGCTCATGCAATACTACTGACTATCAACGCCTAAGCGGACCTTTAAGTAGTAGAGACAAATCAACACCGGTCGGTCAATGCACTGCCAACGTAGATCAGGAACGAAGCAGAGAGAAACCCAAGGAACGCAAAACCGGAGCAGACCACGACCGGATCGGAGTCAAATGTGTCGATGCTGCTTGGTGGTGCTCGGTGTGCTTGCCGGAGAAGACAGATGTACATGAAATAGATACATCCCGCCGTGACCGGATATAGCTTCCGAAATCAATACAAAGACAGATGTATAACACAATACATTAGACGTCAGTTATTTAAAAAATCGTCGTATATTAAGTGACGTAGTATACCATTTATGTAGTAGTGATTAGGGACGAAATTTGCAATTTTAGTATAACTCAGGGACAAAAAGTGCAACGTCAATGATAACTTAGGGACGAAAAGTGAACATGACCAACACTTAGGGATGAATCGTACAATTACCTTATAACTCAGGGACGAAAAGTGCAACGCTAGTGATAACTTAGGGACGAAAAGTGAGCATGACCAACACTTAGGGACAAATTCTACAATTACCCTATAACTTAGTGATGAAAAGTGCAATTTTCCCTTATACTAATATTGTACAATGCTTTTATACCTTAAGTATAAAAAAATATATATAGAGAGAGATTACCATAAAATTACCATAGTAATTACACTGTACCGAATAATAGTATTGATAATTTATTTTGTTTTATAATTACAATTTTTTTTTGTTGATCTATATATATTTTTATACTAATTTGTAACACCCACATTTTCCATTACTAAATTTTCTTTACAATAATACTTTTTTTTTTTTCAATTAAAAATTCACTAATACTATAGCGGAAGCATTAACTAACCAAAAGTAATGGGGGTTACCGCCACGCTTAGGCATTTCCCTATACCTAACCGCTAAGGCTAAAAATCACAACTATACATAAACCAAATCTCACTTATTAGTTATTACATAAAACTATTCAACCATGTATTCATCAAATCACAATTCTTTCAAGGTGTCTATTCTTAGATAGACTTAATTCTTCTCAACTTGAATTCATCTCGAATCCCTATATCCATGTTCACCTGTAAAAATAATTTGCAAACAAAATAGGATGTAGACAAAAATTAGCATAAGCTAAGTAAGTTCTACTTCATCCCGTAAAATATATGCTTGGATTTTTATATTTTCAAAATAATTTTGATACTTATAAACACTTATGAATATGTATCATACAATCGATTATGAATATATATATATATATATATATATATATATATATATATTTGGGGAAAAGTAATATTAGTGAATATGAAAACTTACCTTCGAAGCCCAAAACTCTTATCAACACTTAAAACATCTTAATCACATTGATAGGGAACCTGTGATAACACAAACTAATAATATTAATATTACTATCATATTAATAATATATAATAATTGATATTACAGAAATACCCCCAGACACTTCAATTATTATTATTATTATTAATTTATATATATTAAATACACTTTATCATGTACGAAATGTAATGATGTAAGCATAGGAATGATATATGGTAGCAAGTTAGCAACAGACAGACACAACCAAACCAAACCAATCTAGAAGTCATTCAGTCTCCACTGCTACAGATCGAGTACAGACTGAACTAACCATGGCCGACGCTATCATCTCCGGTGTTGTGAATCAGCTGTTCATCATCATCAAGGACCAAGCCCAGGAGCTAAGAGCAACGTTGGGTGTGGAGAAGGAGATCAAAAACCTCTCATCAAAGCTCAACAAAATCAGGGCGGTGTTGGTCGATGCAGAGAGGAGAAGCTTCAAGGAAGAGAGCGTCAAGCTGTGGGTGGAAGAGATGAAAGACTTGTGCTACGATGTGGAAGATGTTCTGGACGAGTGGAGCACCAAAAGTCGCAGACAACAGATGGAGAGGTCGTCCCAGGTTGCAGCTGCAGGAAGCTGTAGCTCTTTCCTGCCTTCTTGTTTCCATTTCAAAAGGATTGTTACGTATCGAGACATCGCCAAGAAAATAAAGGAACTTGATTCCAGACTTGATCGGATTACTAAAGAGAAAAATCAGTTCAAATTTGATCAAGCATCTGTAGCGCACACACACACTTGTGATCATGAATGGAAGCCAGTGCCCTCTACTGCGTATGTGGATGCATCAGAGATTCAAGGTCGGGAATCCGATGCCAGTGCTTTAATAAGCAAGTTGCTTCAAGGTCCCCCTGGCCCTCTCGTCATTTCCATAGTGGGTGCCGGAGGGATAGGGAAAACTACCCTTGCTCAACTAGTCTATAACCATGAACAGATAAAGGCTCATTTTCCTGAAAGGGTGTGGGTTTGTGTTTCACAATCTTTTGACGAGATCAAGATTGCAAAAGCAATTGTTGAGTCAACCACTAAAAGCTCCACGGATCTGTCTCAATTGCAAATGTTACTGAACAAAATCCAAACCACTTTGTCTCATCAAAGGTTAGGTTCGATCCATCTGTTAGAATAATATATGTTACAGTATATTATTGTATTATTATATTTTGCTGCTGCCCTACAGCATTTAATTTTTCAGTTATGATCAGTATATAGCAAGCAATTCAGATTTTAATTAGTACAGTTGAATTTTATTTTTTTGAATTACTATACTTTTTTTTTTAAATGTTTATGTTTGTTGGCTCCGATCCTGGCTATTGGAAATATTTTAGGAGTCGTTTGTTACTCTTTCATGTATAGTATAGCATGAATTGATGAATGGCACGGTGGAATGAAATAATCTAGCCCTAGCTAGTAGCTAGTATAGCTATCTGAGAGTATTGTTTATATATATATATATATTGATAATGTTTATATATATTGTTTTTCCTTATAGGTTCCTACTTGTGTTGGATGATGTGTGGACAGAGGATTATGCAAAGTGGGAGCCATTTAACAACTGTCTCAAAGATCTTGGTAACAACTGTTCTGGGAGTAGAATCTTGGTGACCTCAAGGAAAAAGAATGTTGCAAGAATGATGGGAAGTGTGTATGAGCATCCGGTGGAGCTAATATCCCACACAGATGCTTGGTCGTTTCTTAGCAGGATAGCATTTTCCGGGAGAAGCAGCAGGGAAGAGGAGGCTTATTCTGAGAAACTGAAAGAAATTGGTAAGCAAATTGCTCAAAAGTGCCAAGGACTGCCACTTGCTGTCAAGGTCATGGGAAGCGTTTTACGTAGTAAAGACACTGAAGAGGAATGGCAAACAGTTTTATCTCAGCTGGATACTAAATTTTCCAATGTGGAGGGAGTGGAAACACATCTCTTTCCTCATTTGTATCTAAGCTATCATGATCTAACTCCACAGATGAAGCGATGTTTCTCATATTGTGCTGTCTTTCCCAAAGATTATAAAATAAACGTAGACAGCCTCATCAGAATTTGGATGGCACAAGGTTATCTCACAACAACAAATGGAAGTGATCATAATGAGATGGAACAGAAAGGCCGGGAGGTTTTTGGAAATTTAGCAATGCGTTCTTTGTTCCAAGATTTTGAGAAAAATTACATGGATTCCAACATCATTATATCTTGCAAAATGCATGACATAGTGCATGATTTTGCCAAGTTTCTTACCAAAAATGAATGCTATAGTGTTGTTTGGCAAGAGGATAAGGTGAAGATTGAAAATCTACATCATCTATCATTGCAAAAAACTGGAAGGCTTATGGATCTTACTTCCATTTGTCATGTCCTTGAAAAACTTCGCAGCTTTTTCGCTGGGGACCTTTCTCCAGAACAACTTACTCCAAATATGTTCAATGGTTTAAAATCCGTGAGAGTATTGGGATTGCATGGTTGTAAGCGGTTTAAACTTCCGAAGGAGATAGGAAATTTGCATCATCTAAGGTATATTGATTTAAGTCGGAGTGAAGTAGACGAGTTACCTGATCTAATTTGCTCTTTGGATAATTTGCAAACTCTAGATCTTAGCGGATGTGAGTGTCTTTCTAGACTACCTGAAGGGATTGGAAGTTTGCATCACCTACGCATGATTGATTTAAGTTGGAGCAAAGTTGAGGAGTTACCTGATTCAATATGCTCTTTGGATAACTTGCAAACTCTAAATCTTAGATGTAAGTTTCTTTCTAGACTACCTAAAGGGATTGGAAATTTGCGTAACCTAAGGTACATTGATTTATCTTGGAGCAAAGTATTAGAAGAGTTACCTAATTCAATTTGCTCCTTGGATAATTTGCAAACTCTAGGTCTTTACAAATGTAAGCATCTTTCTAGACTACCTGAAAGGATTGGAAATTTGCATCACCTAAGGGAGATTAATTTAGGGCGGAGCAAAGTAGAGGAGTTACCTGATTCAATTTGCTCTTTGAATAACTTGCAAACACTAAATCTTGTAAGATGTATGTATCTTTCTAGGCTACCTGAAGGCATTGGAAATTTGAGTCACCTAAGGTACATTGGTTTATCTTGGAGCAATGTAGAGGAGTTACCTAATTCAACTTGCTCTTTGGATAATTTGCAAACTCTAGCTCTTTACAGCTGTCATTGTCTTTCTAGACTACCTGAAGGGATTGGAAATTTGCGTCACCTAAGCAATATCGATTTAAGTTGGAGCAAAGTAGAAGAGTTACCTGATTCAATTTGCTCTTTGGATAACTTGCAAACTTTAATTCTTCGAGGATGTGGGTGTCTTTCAAGACTACCTCAACAGATTGGAAAGTTGCGTCACCTTAGCGAGATTAATTTAAGTAGGAGCAAAGTTGAGGAGTTACCTGATTCAATTTGCTCTTTGGATAATTTGGAAATTCTAAACCTTAAAGAATGTACGTGCCTTTCTAGACTTCCTGAAGGGATTGGAAATTTGCATAGGTTAAGATCGATTGATTTAAGCGAGTGCAAATTAGAGAAGTTGCCTGATGCGATTTGCATTTTGGATAATTTGCAAACTCTAAATCTTCGAGGTTGTGGGTGTCTTTTTAGACTTCCTGAAGGGATTGGAAATTTACCTCACCTAAGCAAGATTGATTTAAGTCTGACCAAATTTGAGGAGTTACCTGATTCAATTTGCTCTTTGGATAACTTGAAAACTCTAAACCTTGCAAGATGTGAGTGTCTTTCTAGACTACCTGAAGGGATTGGAAATTTGCGTCACCTAAGCAATATCGATTTAAGTTGGAGCAAAGTAGAAGAGTTACCTGATTCAATTTGCTCTTTGGATAACTTGCAAACTTTAATTCTTCGAGGATGTGGGTGTCTTTCTAGACTACCTCAACGGATTGCAAAGTTGCGTCACCTTAGCGAGATTAATTTAAGTAGGAGCAAAGTTGAGGAGTTACCTGATTCAATTTGCTCTTTGGATAATTTGGAAATTCTAAACCTTAAAGAATGTACGTGCCTTTCTAGACTTCCTGAAGGGATTGGAAATTTGCATAAGTTAAGATTGATTGATTTAAGCGAGTGCAAATTAGAGAAGTTGCCTGATGCGATTTGCACTTTGAATAACTTGCAAACTCTAAATCTTCGAGGATGTGGGTGTCTTTTTAGACTTCCTGAAGGGATTGGAAATTTACGTCACCTAAGCAAGATTGATTCAAGCCTCACCAAATTTGAGGAGTTACCTGATTCAATTTGCTCTTTGGATAACTTGAAAACTCTAAACCTTGCAAGATGTGAGTGTCTTTCTAGACTACCTGAAGGGATTGGAAATTTGCGTCACCTAAGGGAGATTTATTTAGGTGGGAGCAAAGTTGAGGAGTTACCTGATTCAATTTGCTCTTTGGATAACTTGGAAATTCTAGACCTTGCAGGATGTGAGTGTCTTTCTAGACTTCCTGAAGGTATTGGAAATTTGCGTCACCTAAGGGAGATTTATTTAGGTGGGAGCAAAGTTGAGGAGTTACATGATTCAATTTGCTCTTTGGATAACTTGGAAATTCTACACCTTGAAGGATGTGCGTCTCTTTCTAGACTTCCTGAAGGGATTGGAAATTTGCGTCACCTAAATAAGATTTATTTAGGTCGGAGCAAAGTTGAGGAATTACCTGATTCAATTTGCTCTTTGAATAACTTGAAAATTCTAGATCTTGAAGGGTGTGAGTGTCTCTCTAGTCTTCCTGAAGGGATTGGAAATTTGCATAAGTTACGGTTAATTGATTTAAGAGGGTGTAAAGTAGTGTTACCTGATTCAGTTTACTCTTTGAACGACTACTTGGAAATCCGAGAGGGCAAAGTGGGCGATCAATCAGAATAATGCAGCAGATGTGGAGGAAGCAGTGAAAGTTATGTATGCTCTATTCATACAACCCACTCCATCATCACATGCAGCACTTTGAGGGGTCAGCAAACACCACTGTCATTGCCACTGCCACCAAACACACACATTAATGTAGGCGCCGGCCATGCTGCTCGCTCGCTGGCCGCATGCATGCCCTAATGTAAGCTTCCACTACTATATCATGTTCTAAGATGTTGCATTACACAACATATATTCTGATCTGATCTTTTACCAAACTTGCGGTGTGTAGCTTTTATATCATCTGATCTTCTATTTAATTTTATTTAATTTATATAGATATGGCTGGCAGCAGCTTAAAAGAAATAGAGGGAGTAAATCACAAGCGGGCAACACCATCATTATATTATTGCATGCATTAATTGAAGGTTCTTGCAATTGGTGGATACTGATTCAGACCGGAATGGAGAATGTAGGGATGGTGCAGATTGGTTCAAATGACATTTAAGCGCAGCACCCAAAATGGCTACGCCAATCAACAATTCTTACACCAGTGTTGGCCGATGTTGACAGGATAGCAGAATTGGATTGGTGCAGTGTGGATATCTGCTACAACGTAACGGTTGGTTAAAACAAACCAGGATTAGCTGATTTGATGAATTAATTCATTTTTCTCAAAAAACAAACCAGGATTGGGCAAACGATATGATGTAGCAGCACACTAGCCCAATCATATTCCTAATGGTAAGCTTGCATCTAGAAGAATTATAGTTTTTCTTTGAAAACAGTAGTATATATTATGAATGAAATCATGGAACAACTAACAATATATTTGTCATCCCAGATGTTTTACACGGATCGTTTGCTGGTCAAAGACCGTATTGTCCCTAGGGATATTCCTGCGTTCCGAGGTTGGACAACAAAATTTTTAAGAGAGCAAGAGTTCAGAGAGATTAGAACTGGAGGATTTGGACTGGGAAGAGTTGACATACCATTGAGGATCGGTGCTTCATCCTCTAATGGATAACACTGTCCAGGTTAGCGCCACACTGTCGGAACCACCTGATTACGTGCCAGGAAGTCAGGTAAAACCACTATTTGAATATGCGCAAACTCCTTGTTGAGGCTGTGTAAAACAGAGAATAATGGTCAAATTAAATTTGTTTTGTGTGGTGCAGGGATGTGATGAACATGAGGCCACCGGAGAGGCTCCAGAGGCAGAGCCACAATGCACAACTCCTAATGGAACTAACAAGGTGCAGTTTTCCACAAGTAGTGCTATTATAGTCAAGTTCTTTGCTATTTGTTAACAATTTTAATTTAATGGGGTGATATGAGTAATGTTTTGGCTGAGTTTTCTTGACAAATTTGCAGAGAAATCAAAGGTCTTAGCGTCTACTGTGTTGAGATGGTAAAGCATGCCCCGGAGCTGACATAGAGGGTGAAAATTAAAGGGGAATGCCATAACTGAGAAATGGACAGAGATGGGCGTAAATGAGGTTAGTATGCAGTTGGCATATAAGTACATAAGATCTAGACCAGCTGTGCAATGTGGATTTTAAAGCTGTGCAATGAGGTAGAAGGTGATGCCTCCACTGACATAGAGGGTGAATGAATCTGATCAGAATTGCAAGTTTGCCGTTTTTTTTTTTCATCCTCTGTTTATTAAAATTTGAAATCTAGATAGGGTTTTATAGAATATTCATCTTTTTCAAATGACATCCAAACCATCACTCAATTGAAGCGTGTAGCTTACACACACAACTTGCTGCTATTCTCATCTTTTACCAAACTTGCAGTGTGTAGCTTTTATATCATCTTCTAACAACATTGATCCTTCTGAGCGTACTGTTCTTTATCAGACATTGATCCTTCCTTCCTTCCTTCATTCCTTGTTACTTTTATTTGTCAAACATGACACTATTTTTTGTCGTAAATAATTTTGATGTTTAAATATATTGCCATTTTTTAAATTTAGTATGTATATTTGATAAGTGCGCTCATTCTTAGTACTTTTAGTACTTTTTTTATGTGTGCAATTAATATCAAACTCATAAGATTTCATGTTAATTGGAAGCTAAGTATGTGCTATTATTTGATTTCTTTGTGTCGTTTAGGTGATTTGGAGGCATTGGTTGTAACATGTAAATTGGAGCTCAATTGTATGTGTTTTGAAGTCATCTTGGCACAAAGGCGTGTTCCGGGAGTCATGAGAGGTCAAGAAAGTTAAAAGTAGCTAGTTGAAAGTATCATGACATAACTCGGGGACCCAAAGGAGCAAAAGAGATGAAAAAATAGGCATTTTGTAGTGAAGAACATGGTGTTGGGAAATAATATTCTGTGGCTCAAAATCCATGAGACCATCTCCTTCCACATTGCATGCAGCATGGTCTCTATTCTTGCACATTCTCCGAGATTTGTGGAGGTTCATGCATTTGCCTTATTTCTCTCTCAATTTAATGTATAAATAGGCTAAGTGTTTTATTTTGTAATGCATCAATATCAATTCATTATCCATCCTTAATTCATTCCTTTCCTTCACGTACAAATATATATATATTTGTTTTGTAATTCTCTGTTTGAGAGTTTATATATATATATATATATATATATATATATATATATATATATATATATTTTTATATTTCCCAATTTAGCAACACTTTTGTCATTTATATACTTTCCCTATTATTTAACTTCTATAATTCTCAATTTTCGATTCTTCGCTTCCGCTATATTCCGCTATATTCCTAACAAGTGGTATCAGAGCGGTTTAATTGAGAATTATTTTTAAAGATGTCGACAGTTACCAAGTTCGATATCGAGAAGTTCGACGGGAAAATTAGTTTTTCTATCTGGAAGGTTCAGATGGAAGCCGTTCTAACCCAAAACGGTTTGAAGAAAGCGCTAGCTGGGAAGAAGAAGAAGAAACCGGCTGCAATGACAAATGAAGATTGGGAAGATTTGGATGACAAGGCACGTTCAACCATCCTGTTGTGCCTGTCTAAAGAGGTTCTACGTGAGGTAGTAAGTGAGACGACTGCGTCAGATTTATGGTCCAAGCTGGATACGCTTTACATGGCCAAAACTCTGGCGAACACGCTACGCTTGAAGGAGCGTCTGTACACAATCCGTATGACGGAAGGTACTTCTATTAAATCTCACTTGGATGAATTCAATTCTATTTTATTGGACTTGGAAAATATTGATGTCATAATTGAAGATGAGGATTGCGTTGTTTTATTGCTTGTCTCTCTCCCAAAATCATAAAAGCATTTCAAAGAAATTATGCTGTATGGTAATAGTAGTGATACCCTTACTTTCGACAATGTTAAGTCAAACCTATTGTCCAAAGAAAAGTTTGACTTTGAAATTAAGTCTGAGGACAAAGGTGAAGGCTTGACTGTAAGGGGTCGTTCACTTGAATCAGGGAGTAGCAATAAAAATTCTAGATCCAAGTCCAAAGGACGTAAGTCCAACAAATCCTGCAAGTACTGCAAGAAGCATGGTCATGATGTGACTGAATGTTTTAAGTTGAAAAACAAGCAAGAGAGAGAAAAGTCCGCTGAAGCTAGTGTTGTTGAAAGTGATTTAGAAGGCGATGTTATGTTATCTGTTAGCTCCGGTTGCAAACGGAGCGAAATCGAGTGGATTCTGGACTCTGGTTGTTCATTCCACATGTGTCCTCACAAAGACTGGTTCGTCTCTCTGGAACCGGTTGATGGTGGAGTTGTCTTGTAGGGTAATGATACCCAATGCAAGGTTAGTGGAATTGGAAGTGTTCAGATTAAAACTCATGATAACGTTGTCAGGACTCTTACCAATGTTCAGTATATTCCTGATTTGAAACGCAATATGATATCATTGGGCACCTTGGAATCTCTGGGGTGCAAGTACACAGCTGAAGGTGGAGTTCTAAAGGTCATCAAAGGCTCTTTTGTTCTCATGAAAGCTTCTCGTTCCGGAAGCTTGTACATCTTGCAAGGCAGTACTGTGACAGGTTCAGTAGCGGTATCCTCATCGATGTCTGATGCGGATCTCACTCAATTATGGCATATGCGTTTGGGGCATATGAGTGAGAAAGGCGTGCATCTCCTGAGCAAGAAAGGCCTCCTTGTTGGTTCAGGTACGGGTAAATTACAATTTTGTTAGCATTGTGTTTTTAGGAAACAAAAGAGGGTTAGTTTCTCTACTGCTACACACCGTACCAAAGATGTATTGGAATACATACATTCCGATTTATGGGGACCAACTAAATTCCAGTCTATGGGAGGCTGTAGATATTTCATGTCTATTATTGATGACTTCTCTTGTAAGGTCTAGGTCTATTTCCTGAAACATAAAAATCAGGTATTTTCTATTTTCAAGAAGTGGAAAATACTTGTTGAGACTCAGACGGGTAAAAAAGTCAAGAAGCTCAGGACAGACAATGGTTTGGAGTTCTGTGAGTCAGATTTCAATGACTT